TGTAGTTTTCATCTCAGACATTATAGTTTTCATCTCTAGAAGTTTAAATTAAAAAATAAATCCCATGTTTTTATTTACCATGCTCAATTTTATCTACAGTTCTTTTAATATATGGGATATAGTCATTACAATTATTTTAATATCCTCAGCTACTGATTTTATCACTTGTGACATTTCTGGGTTTATTTTAACTGACTGATTTTTTTCCCCGGTTATAGGCCATATTTTCTGCTTTTGGCATTCCTGATATTTTTTGACTGGGTACAGTGTGAATTTTACTTTGATAGATGCTCAAAATTCTTATAAATATTCTTTAGTGTTTACTTTAGAGCTAATACTGTTCCCCTAGTGAAGCAAAACCCTTGTGCTTGTTTTTCCTGATAATCCATAATTGTGAGGTTTTCTAATCTGTAAGAGGATAGACATTATTTTTAGGCCCGAGTGAGCCAAAGGAACCATATCATATCCTTTATTCCTTTTAGTTAGTTCTCTCCTGAGCCTTTGGTTCTCTCTCTCTCTCTTCTCTCTCTCTCTCTGTCTCTTCCTTTCTGACACACGTACACACAACACACACTCCAGTACTCCACCTGAAGTCTCCAGCTTTTATAGTTTCTCAAAAGCAATGAAAGAGATTAGATGAAATTTGGAATCAAAAGGCCTGGATTTGAGCTGAAACACTGGCCTCTGCTGAGATGTAGAGGCCCAACAAAGAGCTGCAGGAATACAACTAGGGAGTCACATTTCAGAGCCTTCTCAAAGATGGCTCTTTCTAGAGATAACTTTCCCTCAAGTATATCTGTGAAGGAAGCTTTCTAATCATGGCTGAGTGCTGATGAGAATATTAAGAAAATCAACTGGAAGATTTTTTCCTGTTGAAATTCTGCTGCAAGGATACATTGCAAGACTTAAACAAATTCCACTATCCCAGACCAGAGCAAATCTGTAGTCTAAAGCAGCTTATGTGTAGGGTGGCAATGAGAACATCCTGGCACAGACAGTGCATTCCTTACATGCAGGGGGCAGAGTCTGAATGCTGATAAGGTGGTGGGAGGCTTAGGGTACCTGAGAAGTGCTGGTAAGAGTAACATATTGGATAGTGTCATTATGCTGTAATAATTCTGAGTACTAAATGTCTTTCCCTAATGAACAAAATAGATGCTGTGTCTAAACCATTAGTGACTTAATTGCCTCTAAATACCTTAAGAGGTCAGAGGCTTGTGAGAAAAGCCACTTGCCAATGCAATAATTTTAAGTTCATCTCTTCCTATTTTTTCCCTTCACATCAAAAAACTTTCCATATTTCTCAGATGAGAGCCTAGGCCCAGCTCAGCTTTTCTTTGGGTTGTTCCTTATCTCTGTGTTAGCCAGGTTGAGCAAGACAGAGTATTTACCACACCCAGCACAATGCCTGGAATGTGGGAAGATATTCACTAAGCAAGGCTAGCTCTTCTGAAATAATGACTGGCTTTTTTGTTCCTTCACCCTGCCCTGCATGTGGATATCCATAAAGACTGCACGGGGCTCTTCAGAAAGCTCCCAGCCTGGGACGTGAGGACTGCACAGTGCAAGCAACTGTAAGCCTGCCCCTCCTAGAAAGGAGACTGCCCAGTGTGTGCAGTGATGTTACTGGATAGGTGCTGGAATGGCCAAGGAGGGCCACCAGCTCAGACCCAAGGGACTTCCAGACCAGCAGACTCTTGTGAGATTTTGTGTGTGTGGAACCAGTTTTTTTGGAGGGCAAAGCTATTGGGGAGGAAGAAAGGAATTTAAATTACAAGTTAGTTGGTTATTCTTAGCCCCAAATCTCACTGGGATGTCAGTCTGACTCTTACCTATTATTTATAATCCTCTTTTTGTGAAAGAAGCATGCTACTTATAAACAAAAAAAATGAACAGTCACAAGAATAAAAACCATGGCACTGATTATCTATTATCTTTCATCTTACTGAAGGAAAGATAGAGAAAAAAGGAGGTTCCTTTCCCCTAGGTCTTTTAGAATATGGTTTTCTAAATGTTTGCTTTATAAGGAACAATTGAGGACTCCTCTACTGTGTAAAGCAAACTTCATTTTAGTTATCTAGCTGCACAACAAATTACCCCAGTGAAGACAGTCACATTTACTGTGTCACAGTGTCTGTGGGATGAGAATCTGGGAGCATTTGCTAAGATGGGTCATGGTCTCCACTGAGGTCAAAGCTGAGCTGTGGGCCACGGTCTCTCTCCCTGCAGCTTAGCAAAGTCTGAAGGAGCCACCTCAAAGCTCACTCGAGTGGCTGGAGCAGCTCTGAGGCTCCAGTTCTGTGCCACACAGGCCCTCTCCATGGCATAGCTCACAACATAGCTTCTCTCCACAGAGTGACTCAAGACAGCATGAGAATCGCCCCGTGGAAGCTGCTCTCCTTCGGAACCCCGTTTTGGGAATGAGATGCCACATTCTGTGTGCACAAATCACTCTGTGAGGACCAGGTAGGGTGGATCACTTTAGCCATTTGGCAGCTGTTTACTCTCCTTCCCCATTGCTCTACATGCAGGCATGGTCTGCAGACAGAAAGTTAGTCTTCTAGGACAGCATGCAAATGAAATGAAGATCTGAGATGTGATGAACCAGTCAGCACCCGTGGTTCAGAGTGACTACTACTCACAGAGGAGATGAGACAAGATGGAGGCCAATCTATTCTGAGTCCAAGGCGCATGTCTTCTGATAGTCAACCCATCATGCTGTCTGTACATGAAGCAAACTCATAATTAGGCACGAAGTTTCTAATGTGTTTAGAAGGCAGGTTGATGTAAACCAAGTGGGACGCTGTGAGTTACTAACTAGTAAGGAACACTAGTTCCCTGTGTGTTATTAACAAGCTCTGCAACATCAGCCAAGTTACTTAACTTCTTTGGACTTATCATATCCACTAAAAAAAAAAGGACTGTATTTGGTGATGTCTACTAATACTGTACTGACAAAAACTTGTATTTGATGATACCCTGATTATAGTAGAACTTGCGCAGGGAGATTCAGAGTACAATTGGCTGTGTAGTTACCCTTCTAGAGTAAGGGAAATGCTTCACAAATGGGCCTGGAGTTGAGTTAAGGTTAAATAAGACATTTTAAATGCAGTGAGGTTGTGATAACACTCACTATGGCAAACTGCCATGTGCTGGACCCCTGAGATAGACCAATGCAGGGTTAGTGGGTGGTGGCTAATCCTGCAGATTCCTGGTTTAGTGGCAAGAGAGGGACTGCCATGCAAGTACAGTTTTTGTAGATCATAGATGCAGCTTGTGGCTGTGTCTGTTCTCACAGATCAATGTGCATGCATTTCTAAGAGCCTTACTGAAGTAAAATTGGCCACAAACTCACCTATCACACATTATATAACCCATGGTTTTAGAGTTGTGTGCAATCATCACCAAAATCTAATTTCCATCATCTCCAGAACACTTTCGTATCCATTTGTCATTAGTTGTTTTTCTAACTCCCAGGCTCAAGCAACCACTCAAGTATTTTCTTTCTAAGTTTGCATTCTCCGGAAATTCTTTATAAATGGAAATAGACAATATGTATTTTTTCTTTCTTTTTTTGCATCTGGCTTCTCATACATGATAAAAAGTTTTATTGTGTATCTATACTGTAGCCTGTTCTCAATAGTTTATTCTTTTTATTTCCTAATACTATCCCATTGTAGGAATATACCACATTTTACTTCTCTTTGATAGCTGGTGGACATTTGGATTGTCTCAAATGCTCATTATGGAGTTGGGGGCTGTTATGGATAAAGGTGCTATGAACATTTGTATAGAAATCTTTGTGGACCTATATTTTTGGACCTATACTATAGATGCTATATTCTTGGGTCTATACTTAGTAGTGGAATGACTATATCACAGGATTAAGCTCTATGGTTAACGTAAAAAAAAAGTCATACTGTTTTCCCCAGTGGCTGCAGCAGCTTATGATCCCATCAGTGACACACATAGCTCACATTTCTCCATGGAAATTGTCTCTTTGATTATGTCATCTGGCCCACCAATGCCAGCTCCAGAAGACACTATCTTAACTGACAATGAAATTTTGGGTCAGTGGCTACTGAAACAACTGTAATTAGAGCTAAATTATTCATACCTGTATTAAGAAGCAATTCCTACTTAGTAACCTGAATGAGCTACTACTCCTTTTAATTATTGAGGCAACCCAATGTAAATTCCTATCCCAAACAGTTTCTTTTACCACATAAGTGCCACTGGCAGTGCGACCACAGAAACAAAGAAAATGTACACTACAAAGTGGCCAGAGATATTTTATATTAACCTAACATGTTATTATGAAAAGGAAAATCTTATATATTTTATTCAGGAAAAAAATAATTTTCCTCTATAGTTAGCTTAAAGGATATCTAAGGCTTTGAATAATTTTATTCAAATATGAAAAGACAAAATGCACACTAATTCTTCAAAGCTATATTGCTTACTAAGTATAGCAGTTACTCAGTCAAAACTGACCGGATGAATCTGCCCTAAGAATAAATTTACTTCTTCTAGGGGGCTAAAATGATACAAAATAATGACTTAGTGTTGTAATAAAATTCTGTCAATTTTATTAAAAGCAGATTTAATTTCTTGACATAGTTAAGTAAGTTTCTTTTTTTTTTTAAAAAAAAATGCCCATTTCATTGTATCATTTCATAAGAGTAAGTTGGCTCAGCAAGACCATCATGGATAAAGACACATACAAAGTTAGCACCACACATCTATAAATGCAGATGACTGTTACAAACTTTCCAATATGTACAGGCTCCCTTACACATCCACACAAATATTTACAGCTAATAAATAAAATATAAAGCCCAAGCATCATTGATACATATTGCTATATATATATAGCAAAGTCTATAAAAGCTAGAGTTTCCAGTGGCATGCACTGATTTGCCACATCTTTCAAGTTTATGCACCTTTGATCAAAACCCAAATCCAGAAAATCAATTAATTAGCAATAAAGGGGATGCCAATGACAAATCATACATCATTTTATTGTTGAGAGAATTCATTCCAAGCCTGATGGAGTTAATCACAGCATTTGGGCTACATTGTATAGGTATAATTATCTTTCTCCAATAAAGGGCTGATGCTCTGGCTCATCTGGAATTATTTCTACTCCAATATGACTCAATACATCCCTTGACTGGTCAGGTTCCAAATCATGCTGAATGACAAGTATACATGTGGGGGTTCATATGTGAGTATGTGTTCAGACACCCCACACTTTCACAGATTGGATTCCCAGCAATAACCTCTGAGACGTATGACTTTATCATTTTGCATTAACATATAGAAAAGCATTCTGAACATATGAGACCTAGCTTACAAATAATTGTTCACTCACTCTTGATTAGTTGTTAAAAACAATGATAACAGCCCTGCTGGCACTTCGTGTGGCTCCGGCAGTCAAGGATTCTCTTCCTCACACACAATGGTTTATAAGCATTGCTTATTCATAGATCCCAGGAACATTTCTTTTTTCACTTAATAAAAGTGGTTTTTGTCTAAAATTTTTACTTTGCATGAAGCAATATTTGAACTTGAACACATACAAGCCAGAAATAAAGAGCTATGACTGAGCCATGATCACAGTAAACCTGAAACTAAATAGTAAGTATCAGATAGTAAATGATTCTAAACAGATATAGACAATTTGAAAAATCTGAAAATACAAGTATGATTATTTTTCTTTTTCCATAGTCCAAATTATGCATCAGCTGAGGATTTACAGGTTCATTTTCAACATCTATCCAGAGAACACTGTTAAAATATAATATTAATACAAAGAAAACAGAGGATAGAGAGATTAGGAAATAAAATCACATGTAACTTTGTCATGATGCACGTCAGGGGGCCAAAGCTCGGTACTTCATCAGCCCCATTCATTCTCCCTCTCTCCTTGTCACATGATTTGGTTAACTCCTGGGCCACATCCCAGTGGCAAGAGAATCATTCTAAAAGATCAGATATTTTCACTGCTAAATAAATGGATCTGAAATGATCATGCTACAGAAAATTATTTTCTATATTCTGACTTGAGGAAAACTTTGAGAAGGCTTCAGTCCCCAAAACCCAGAATTTAATTAAAATAATGGTTTTTAATTAAAAATACTATTTTAATTAAAATAGTGGTTCTAACGAATTTTCGACCATAGCCAAACCAGCCACACGAAGAAGCCATATTTTACTATGGGCACAAACAATTTTTTTCCTCAAGGGACAAAGCGCAGTGCTTTTTATGTCTATCATCTTTTAATGTTGGAGGATGTGCAATTTGGCCACTAGAGTCCTCGAATTGAATTAGCCAGTTTTTAGTATTTGAGATTGTCTCTTAATTTAACTAAGAAGGGTATAGCTTGGATTAATACTTAGGGAAATCAACTTTTAAACACCCAAAGCATTGGACATCTTTCATAAAATTCACTTTGTTCGCTTCATTCTTCACAGAGTTCATATGCTAGTCTTCTTTCTGCATACTTGCCCAGTGTCTGAAAAAAAAAAAAAAACAGAAGGCAATTTATTATCTGCTTAGTGTTTTACAATACCTTCCCCTCTCCACCATTTTAATGATACTAAAAAGTGTCCAACTGGAAACTCAGAGTCAAAGTTATATGAACAAACCTGGGGAGATACTGATAATGAATCAGAGGAAGTGACAGGCCCCTAAGAAAAACAGACACTAACATCTGTGCAGCCTAGCCCTAAGAAAGGTACCATTTTCAGAGGACAGAGCCAAGTGATTTCAAAAGTTAGTGGCATTTCCTACTTCCAAAATTTACCTAATGAAAAGCCCGTTTCATTCTTTTCTTGTGATATGAGACTTTTGAGGAGTTAGCACAAGATGCTAGAAAAAGGGTCTTTTGTTTAACAGATTTCTGGTCACAGTGGAAAGAAACCTTAGAAGATTATTAATCTGATTCATAATTACCTCCTAGTTAAGATACATTTTTAATAAGGCTGCCTAAATACTGTTTCAGTAATCCTGTAATTAGACAAAGATGCATCATGATACTTTTTCTGTTGGAGTCTGGCAATTTATATGAATAGTATCACCAGAGGTGAGTTACAAAGAGCTGGAGTTATTTCCTGATTTGGGTGGCTTTGTTTTTACATTCATATATGGATTTAAAATTGCAAATAGTTTCGGAAGAAGGTGTATATGTGTGTTATTTGTGTGTAATTTAAATGCTTTCTATAAATTTTCATAGGAGAGTCTCCTAAGAACTGAAGCAAATGTGAAATTATCTCATGTCTCTGATGAGGGAAAACAAAGTAATGAACCCCTTAGAAGAAAAATGTCCATTTACATAAGAATTGAATTATTCTTCCTGGCTCAATGCCAGTAATCTCTTCCATCTCAAGTCATTCAGATGACTTCACCTTGTCATTCAAAGTGTCTATATCATAATTCCCTTTTTATAAAAGATGAAAAGTATGTAAATATTATATACGTATAAAGTATGAGTCAGTCAAAGTGTTAGTTGGAGTTGCCCACTAGCCATAGGATTATAGCAATTTTATTTTCTTTTTGTCTATTTCTCTTAATCTACTCATAGGGAGCATATATAAATTATGTTATGAAGTAGAAATTTAAATAGGGATATTCTACATTGGGTCTTTAATATACATTTTCTGTAAAGGGAATTCTTACTGTGCTTTTGTCTATAAAGCTAAGTAGGAAAAGTTAAAGCAAAAGTGTTTGCTTTTTCTGTTTCCAGATGACACTGTGGCCAGTCTTTGCCATTGTCACTGGCTTGTATGACACTATCTAATATTTCTCCTCTTTGTACATGCAACCCATTAGCACTTGGCACCTGTGCAAATGACATGTCCCAAGAACTCAGGAGGGGATGGGGACGGTCACATGCTTGGTCTCCACTTAGAACTGACGTTCTGGAAAGATTCTGCTGACAGCTGCCCTGGGGATTAGCCTTAAAGGTCAGATAGAAACAAGCCAGCAGTTGTTCTGAGATAGAAAGAAGAAGAGTCCCCCACTCTCTCATCCTGCTAGCTCCCCATCTTTGGGGGTCTGGTGGTGGGTTCTTGGGCCTGTCCCTTTGATTCTGTGTCCTGGAGTATGCTAGTGCTTGGAGAATCAGATTGTGTGGCTTAAGCTGATGCAATGAGATATTTTTGTCCCTGGAAACATCCTGGGAAGTTGCCATAGCTGTGGTTGCAAGTACCTACCCTGTGGTACATGATCTGCAGATGCATGTGCAATGGTAAAAGAGGTACAGAAGTGGAAAAAGAAAAAAGGGAGATTTGCTTTGAGAAGTAAAATAGACCCCAAATTGTTCACTAGGAATGAAGGCCAAGACAAAGAAAAGAGAGAGGTATTGCAAAAAAGCAAATGGGCCCATCTGCTATCCAAGCAGATGGGCTAAGAGAAGTGGCCTGGAGGCTCTGACCACAAGGCTCAGCTCAGGCCGCTGGCTACAGGTGAAGAGCGGAGCATGAGGCTGCCTCCTGCAGAGGCTCAGAGACCTCTGGTCCAAAATGCTTACCAGCCAGACTTCTTAATCAGAGACTTGTCGTGGCATTTCACGAACACCGCAGAGCCCTTTCCCTTCTGCAGTTTCGACACTTTCTCCCGGGAACAGAACATCACCCTGTGGGAGAAAAAGAGATGTGAACATACCATGTAGAACAATAAGAACAGCTGTTCTGAAATGTGCTGACCTGTTGGAGCTAAACAGGCCCTCCATAATCATCCTGGCAAATGGTGTTGGTATTTCCAACAATTAACTCTGGCCACATCTCAGTTAGAGGGTTATCAGAGAGCCTACTTCAGTTCAGCTAATGAGCAAGCTAACCAATCTAGGGAGGCAGGCAGACAGCTTGAAACAGCCTTAAAATCACCACTCTCTGACCAAGAGATGACACAAGAGCAACTTCACCTCCTCTCAGTGTCCACATTAGTGAGGTAGGGACTCAGCCTTTTCAACTGGCCCTGCTGGAGGTTGAAGGTTCTACGCAGCTTTTCCATCAACCGCATTCTTTTAGTATAAAAGCAAATGATGAAAGAGAAATAATTTCTCAATTCCAATTTAAGAGTTATTTTTATTAATGGTAATCACCTACTATAGTGTGCAAAATCTCTGCACATTTAGGATATAAGTTTGAAATCCTAGAAGGCTCTCTGTACCATTCATTTCATAGATACATGTGGGACAGAGCTGAGGAGACAGGATGAGATTTTCTGAGTCCAATCTTCTCGAAGAGGCTGGTTTCAAGACTTTAAGTCTCGAAGTTAAATTTCTGAGATTTGTCCCATAAACCTTCTGTGCTTGCAAGAAATAGTGCTAAATGAATGCTGAGATTTTAAACTTCCAATCCCAGATCTCCCTCCAAATAACTGTGACCAATTCAGGGATTATATTTTCTTTCTTGAAATGCACAGATCCTAAAGTTTCAGCATCTCTAATCTAAAACTCTGAAATCCAAAAAGTTCCCAGATCGAAAACTCCTTAAGCACTAATATGGGACTACAGTTGGAAAATGCCATACCTGACTGCATATGGGAGGGCCACAGTCCAAATGCAGGTGCACTGGAAATATTGTGTAAAACTGCCAAGGCTATGTGTGTAAGGTGTATGTGAAACATAGATGAATTTCATGTTTAGACTTGGGTCACATCCTTAAGATATCTCATTATATCTACGCAAATACTCCAATATAGGCAACAAGCCAAAATCTGAAACACTTCCGGTCCCATGAATAAGGGAACCCAACCTGCATGACTTCCCCAGTATGATAACAAAAGAATAATCCTGGGCTGGGAATTTAGCTCAGTGGTGCTGCCGCCTGTCTTACAAGTGCAAGGTCCTGAGTTTGATCCCGGTCCCAAAAATCAATCAATCAATCAATCAATAATCCTAAAACACAGTAGGTATAATGATCCAGGATATGCAGTACACATGAGATGTGCTGAAGTTTCATCTGAATGTGAAACCTCCTAAAATACCATCCCTGAGCAAACACATTAGCATCTCAAGTGAGTGGGCCAAAAGCAGTAGACTCACTTCTTTTGCGTCTCTCCTGCTTTGACTCTGATCCTCTCGATGGTGAAGCCAGGTCTGCTCCACCAATTTGACCAGGCAAAGTAGGAGTCACTCTTCCACTTGAGCTTCAGCATTAGGAGCTCTCCAATGTCCACCTCCGTGTAGATCAGGAAGGAGTACGTCTTATTTGTGGACACTTCGGGTCTGAATAACAATTCCACAACTTTGGTTAATTCTGGAAATCAACTTCTCTTGCCTTTTTTGTTCCCCCAGAATGTAAATAGCTTTATTGTTTGGGAGATAGTTTTAAAATGCAAAAAATGTACAACAAAATACTCGAGATGAACTTCAAAGGCATTTAGTATATTGTAAAAGTGCCTCTATCACTTTAATGTCCTTCAGAATTTATCCTAACATGAACTATGTAATACACTTCTTAAGAGAAAAAATCCACTAGCTCATCATTAAGAGACACTTTCATTTACATGCATTCCTCTGCAATTTGTACTGATATGTGAACATATCTCTACTTAACTACTAGCAAAGCATACATAGAGGGCCGGGGATTTAGCTCAGCAGCACCGTGCCTGCCTTGTAAGTGCAAGATCCTGAGTTCAATCCCCGGTACCAAAAAAAAAAGTTTATTTGGCTCACAGTAACACACCGTGCCTGCCTTGTAAGTGCAAGATCCTGAGTTCAATCCCCGGTACCAAAAAAAAAAAAAAGCATACATACAATTCTCTATTTTTCTTCATTTTTTCTTTTCCTTTTTGCCATGCTTTATCTAGTTTTCTGTAGTTATAATTTTTAAAGACTACATTGGTTTTATTGACTTGATAAACCACAATTCATTTAACCATTGTCTTAATATTAGATGTTAATATTAGATGTCTTAATATTAGATGTTAGTTTCTAATTTATGCTATTATATTTTTTAAAAATTGCTATTGTGTGTGTGTGTTACTGAAGATTGAACCTAGGGCCCTCACTCTGAGCTACATCCTTCTCCCATTTTATTTTGAGACAAGATTTTTTCTACCTGTAAATGTCCCATGCTGGGCTTAAACGTGCAGTCAAACCTGCTGAGCCTTCCAGCATGTCTGTGTTATCTATTTCTTTAGGATAAATATTTTTTAAAAAGATTATTCCATTCCTCGTAATTATTTATTACATCTATGGAGAGTTACTGCCTTTCTCTCTTCCTTACTTTGAGGTTCTAACAATGAATGACCATCCTAGTGTGGTAAAGTGTACTGCCTCACCACCTTATCAACATTGGGTATTTTAGAGGATTTGTTCATTTAACAACTATCAAAGTATCTCAGAAAATTGTCTTAAGTTTGTATATCTTCGATCCATTTTAGGAGTAATATTTTGTCATGAGCATTTTACTACTTATATCTTCTGTACTTATTATATTAACATCTTGTCAGTCTTGTTACTATTTATATCTTCTATATTCATTATATTAACATATATTAATGCAATGGCTTCCTGTTACTGGTATTTAAAAGTCAAACCTCTTGATGAAATTTAATTGCTTCATTTATTTCATTTGTATAAAAGAAATATGCAGTTATAAACTGACAAAGAGAAAATACGAATGGTATATGAAAATGAATTGATCAGTTGTAAAAATGTTTCTCTGAAAGATAAAATACAGCAAAGACCTCAGCTTTGAAATTCCAATTTCTTAAACTAGAGACTTGTTTTCTAGGTGTCCAAGTCCACTTCTGTTTCTCAGACTCAGGGTCATGGCAGAAAGTAGGACCATGGCCAACCCACAGGCCATGGGTACACCCCAGGGCTACTCACAGGGTGAAGGCGATGTTCTCACTCTCGGCCACCGTGCCATACAGAGAGATCTCGAAGGCCTGGTTGGTCTGCGTGTTACTTTCAGTCCCAGAAAAGTGAATCTTTACTTGGTAATGGAAGACTAGAGGGGAGGAAATTGGAATACAGGCTGATTAGTCTTCATGGAAACAGTCCCCAAACAATCAGGCACTTCAGACTGAAAGAACATATCTCATTAGCACCCAAACAGGAAATGCAGGTCTTGAATGTTACTCTCTTTCAGAAAAAATGTGGCTGTAGTAGATGGGAAACCCAGGTGTATCTGAACTGCCAGGCAGTCCCAGACTGCAGTAGTAGGGAAGGCAAATCAAAAACCCCCAACCCCAGTGATGTGTTCTCTGTGACTTCCACCTGCCTTGGCCATCTTGTCCCTTAGTGTCTGTACCAAGCCTATTTGACATTTCCTACTGCATCACCTTGAGGCCATGCTCATGCTGCTTCTCATTTCATGGTTATGTCCACACTCCCTTCCCTGACAGTTCCTACAGGTCAGAGGATTGCATCCCCTTTATTCCCCCATCTCTAGCACAGGAAGACACGCATGGCTCGTGACCAAGCTCATTTCACTGACCCAGCTAGCGAGGCCCTGAGGATTGTCTTGAAAGCCAGTTTCCAAAGAGCTCTGGTTTAGGGAGAGCCTGTGGTATGAGGAACTTAAACCTGTACATCTCCTCTCTGCTTCCCTCCATTTCTACTCCAAACCCTGAGCAAAAGGCACTGGGGAGAAGCTTCAAGGATAGGAAGGCAACAGCCTAAACACAGCTACTGTGATGGGGAAAATTATTATGATGCAATTTTTGGGTCAATTTTGGTCATTTTTTTCTTATTTGTGCTTATTAAATGCACTTTCTTTTAGGCTGGGACACATATTTCTTTGCAGGAAAGATTTATAATAGTGCATACTATATTCTAATGCTATTTTGAAATTTATTCTAATGAAAAAAATTTCAATACAATTTGTCTTGGGAGCTTTTGATGACAATCGCTATTTTGTTTGGCTACCATTTCTTTTTGTAATAAAAATAACTACCCAGGTACTAAGCAAAAACCAGAAAAACAAAACTAAACGTCCTGAGTTACTAAAAGGTAAAGCGAAATCAAGTTTAGGATTAAACAGAGTTCTTGCTGGCAGCACACAGACCACAGCAGGAGAGACTCGGGGTGCCCAGGTTCCCCAGGGGACTCTGACAGTCCTGAGCAGAGATGTGAGATGCGGGGCGAGGGAGCCTCCTCCGTGCATCGCACACACACCCTCGTTCTGAAGAGACAGTGAAACTGAAGATTTCCTCATTGCCTAAAGGACAGATGCTCCAATTTCTATGCCACCAAATGCACTCTATTCCGCAGAGTCCAACAAACTGACTTGCAAGCAGGCACAGGTGGCAGATATATTTTATTCCAGGAAACTGTTCTTTAATATCTGCCCTTCCCTCAGGCTCCACAGAAGCCAGCCTTTCTGAAATGATTTATTTCATTATTCCCTCTCCAGTTTCTCCTCCATTCCTTCAGGTCTTGTTCTAAGGAAGAGGTTAAGCTTGAAATTCAAGTGAAACAAGTTTATGGCAAAATGGACATATCTTTGTGGTTTTGGTATAGTCTTGCCTCCCAGGTACAGTTAAATTTTTTAATACAGATGGTTTTTTGCCTTCCTGTAAAGTGAACTTCAGAAGTAGCAAACTTTTAGGGCTGGGGGTTTAGCTCAGTGGTTTCGCTGCCTGCTGCGCAAGCACAAGGACCTGAGTTCGATCCCCGGTACCAAAAAAAAAAAAGAAGTAGCAAACTTTCTGAAAAGGACCCAAGAGTCAATATTCTAGGCTCTATGGACAGTATTGTCTTAGTCTCAACTACTCAGCTTCCACTCTGGTGGGATGAAGGAAGCCTTAGATAGCATGGAAGTGAATGTGCGTGGCCATGTTCTATGAAACTTTATTTATAAAAGCAGGTGGTAAGCTGGATTTGGCCCAGGGGCCATGGTTTGCTGACTTCAAGGTGATGTTCCAAATTAGCTGTGAGCCCAGTACAGACAGGCTGGCTCATGTAATGTTTAAAATTACAGAGGAGGGTAGCAAGTCCCAGAAGCAAATCCCAGACTGGGCACTGGAGCCTGACTGGCAATGAGAATAAGGAGCATCAACAAAACAGACCAATGCAACTCCCTCTATCAACAAAAACCAAGTGAGGACTCAGGGTTTAGTGACTGCCCTTCATCAACTCTCTTCCAGTAGATAGAATCAGCGCATATAATGCAGCAGGCAAGATGAAAACATGACTCACTGGCTGTCCTTTCTCCAGCCTACCTTTGTAGGGCATCTGGGAACGAGTCTTCAGATACATCTTGCTGCTTCTTTTGGCTCTGACCTTGTTGATCTCATAGCCCACGTTGTTGCACCGGTTCTTTCTGCAACTCAGGCAGAGACCTTTGTCAAAGGCTTCCTTGGAGTTGCACCTGTAGGCCTTACTTGGGTTCTCTTCATTCAACAGGGAGTCGATGAAGAGATGAATGGAGCGCTCATGGGAGCACTTCACTAGTTGGTCCACATCTAGGGCAAAAGAGTCACAAAGGGAATTTCAGTTCTGCAGCAGTCACAGTAGATGCATCATTTTGCATGTCTAAACTAGGGCAGATGTGGCATTAGAATAATGACCCCAGCATCTGCTTTTATGCATCTAAGATTATAGATCTTATTTTATTTATTTATTTATTTTTGGTACCGGGGATCGAACTCAGGTCCTTGCGCTTGCACAGCAGGCGGCGAAACCACTGAGCTAAATCCCTGACCCTATAGACCTTATTTTATTTTATTTCCCCCTGTTGGCAGCTGCTCACCTACCTCCAAGTTTGTCAAAGCTCCAAGTTGGCAGGGAACTTTTGACTTTTCTTCTATGAGTATGTTTATGAGCTATCAGGGTAGAAGGTACTTCCCCACAGTTTATCATGTTCCCCTCTTTTATATTGAAAATAACTAATAGTTGTAGGTGTTTCTAGAAACCTACTACTAGAAACCACATTGCAAAGGGTGTAATTGTTAAGTAGATAGTGCTTTATCATACATATTATGAATAATTGAGGGTTATGCCCCACAGATGTATTTTTTACATCAAATGAATTCTAGAAATAATCAGCAATGTCCTAAGAATGGATTTATTGCCATAAACTTTTATAACACTTAAAAACAGAGCTCTAAGTTCTATAATATGCCCAAAACTACTGTGCATACCAACCACAGGTAGGTTGTGGTGTCCATAAGACCTGCAAAGAGCCCTTAAAAATCATAAATTTGCCACAAGCTAACATGATTATTGAAGCAAATATTAAGCTAACATTAAATTAATTAACTAATTAACATCTGCTACATTTTCAGAAAAATTCAAATTCACTCTGTTAGGTTTCCAAATATATCTAAATTATGAAAATGCATAGCCAGATAACACTGTACAAGCTATGACAGAGACCAGCATAGTTTTCCAGTACTGAATGTAGTTTACAATACAACAAACAGAAGGTAAGTTGGCTGGCTGGCAAGTAATTATGCTGAATATAGTAGAATGCTTCAGAAACATGCTTTGTACAAATGTGTATAATTATAGTCCTTTTTTCCCCTTAGTGCTAAGGATGGAAACCAGGGCCTTCTGCATGCTAGGCAAGTGTTCTAGCACTGAGCTACATTCCCATCCCCAGATGCGAATCTTAAAACTACATCCTTTTCGGGTAGCAGTTGGGATACTAGGTCAGTAAGGATTAAGAACAAAACCACATTTAATTGACTTCTAAACCACTTACCTCCAAGGCCCCTCTCTGCAATCACACGGATAGCTTCCCCGATGTTGCATCCGGGTTGAAAAGTGCCTCCATTGGGATAAATGTCAACATGCCCCACTGGTTTCTGGATTCCAATGCTTCGTCCTGGTGACCCCCTGGTGAATGTGTGTAAGACATCTACAAAATCTGCATCATCAGGAGAAAGGCGACTGGGAGCTTCTGCATACTCAAAGTTGGGGCCGGCTGGATCCAGGCCTTAATGGGGAAAAAATATACATAGAATTTACTTTCTGATGTGAGAGGTGACAAATTATGTGAACCCCACTACCACAGCATAGAACATAGGTAGGAGGGGAACACTTGTCAGAGAACAAGCGGGCCTTCTGCACTTCATTCTGCTCTTCTGTGCTACAGCCAATACTTGGTGAACGCAGGGGAGCATGAAGCCGTATCTTACTCCATGAGATAATCATGCCAGGCAAATGCCCAGAAGAACACCACACACATTACTCCGATTCTGTTTCAGAACATTGGCCACCCAGACTCCTGGGATAAGATGAATGAAAGTGCTCTCTCTCTCACCTGTAATTCTGTTGACCTTCTTATTGGTCCGACTTCCAGCAATGCCAGCAGCGTGGGCTCCGAGACTGTATCCCAAGAGATGGACATTGTCCACAGGGTAATTAAATTCATCCTTTGGAAGGAAAAAGAAAAGTTTTTATAGTGTGTTCTCAAAGATATCAAAACTAAAAGTAATAAAATGAATATAAACACTGTTTTCCAAACTATGGGTACTATAATAAATTAATTTTACAAACTTCAATTTTATATTACAGATAAGAAAAACATACTCTCTAGTGTTGAGAGTTTTCTCTTTATCTATTTTTAAATTTCTTTTTTTTTTTTGGTACCGGAGATCGAACTCGAGACCTTGCGCTTGTGAGGCAGGCACCGGAACCACTGAGCTAAATCCCCAGCCCTCTTTATCTAACAACAGATTTAAACTTTTCATACATCTGAAATTATGCACACATATAAAATGTATGCAATAGATCAATATGCATTCGTGCATATACAGTGTATGTGTGCACATATATATTAACTTGAACCTATTGTCCCCCACTCTAAATACACTGCAACACTTCTTGAAAGTTAACCAAGTAATGACTTATAATCAGAAAATTTGACAGTGAGAAGAGATCAGGGACACACATAGTCCAGGCCCTTCGTTTAACAGGCAAGGAGCTTAGGCCTAAGGATGTGATCTAATTTTTCCCAAGATCACTAACCCGATTAGGAAGAAAAGAATTTTTGTCTTTTGATAGTTTGTCCAATACTCATGGCTTATTATTTTTAGCCCTAATGATCTCACTTAAATAATTTGCCCCTGTCAAAACAGTAGCTTCCTTTCAACCCCAAGTAACTTTTCAAAGGTAATTTTCAGAGCATGATCCACAAAAGCTGGCCAGCCTCTGAAGGTGGGTAAACCCCACAGCTGAGTCAGATCTCTGAGCCTTGAGCCAACTCGTAGCCTACATGCCTTCCCAGCCATTATCCTCCCAGCTCAGTTCCATCACTCCCCTTAAACCGCAAGGCTGGACAATCTATCTCTAAACAAAAACATGGATCCTTAATCCAACTAAGAAGTAACCATTGTTGACATTTCAATCAGAGATTGGCATTCTAACAGGAGGCAAAGGCAAGATACAATTTCCATGTGCCAGCCAACTGGTGGGGAAGGACTTGGCTGAGCATGCCATCTTCCCTGTGTCCTGAAAAAACAAGCTCTTGTTTGCTCTGCCCACTTAGTTTGTGATCTCAGCAGATCTATTCACTGAAAATATCAGACCAAGCAAGGCAGAACTATTTATTGCCATGGTAGTCTTCTCATTATTATCATAATGCTGCTTTTGGCCAAAAAATAATCTCCATGCTCATCCTGAAGATTTGGATTGCCCTAGAAAATATCTAAGGGAAAAGGGAAAAAGACTAGTCATTTTCCATCCCCAGCCAAGAACTCTATTTGGGATCTGTAAGGCTCCTTCTCCAGGTCTTACCTCCATCCAGTTGATAAACCTGGCTACATCTTCTCCCACCAGCTTGGTGTAGCCTGCAGACACTGGATAGTGCTGCTGGGCCCTCAACAGCCAGTCCACCACGATGACATTGGAGTCTGGTTCCCTCTTGTACAGGGCAGCCACAAGTTTCGGCACCCAACTCTCATACATTCCTGTCACCTAAAGAGATTGATACACCATTTCTTAGAAGAGCCACCTACAACTTGTTACAGATACAACCTCTCAATACACCTACATGAAATGACAAAAGTGAACTTTCAGGAAAGCTCACTGGCTCCGAAGGAAAAGTCAAACCCCAAAGCACGTTCAGCTTGTGCCTTCACAGAAATCTATGAGTGTGCTAAGGGGGGTGCATTGAGCTCAGGGACTGAAAACTGGGGTTTATTACACTTTCCATTTTAATCGTGGTTTTTTTTTTTGGTTTTTTTTTTATAAATTCAGTAAAGTTGCAATAATTCATACTATTAGAAGGAAAGATCAGCCTGAATAAATCAAAATTTTAGAGTAGAATTACAGGCTATTTTTAAAGAAATTCAGTTTAATTGCTTTCAGTTAGGCTAGTGTTTCCCAACAACTGTTTTGGGAGGTAGAAACATTTTTTATAAAGAATCATTTTTTTTCTTATGAAGAGTAGCCACAGTAATGGTTACTCGATTATGTACTAAAATGGACAAAGAAGAGTCTAAAATTCACGTTTAAGATGGTTTTCAATAGGAGACCCGTAAAACCCAGGTCATACTTAGCGTAAGCCCAATAGGAAAATAGGAGTCTGGATTCACAAACTAAGGAACTTCACTTGGAACCTTGGTCTCACATGGTGGGTTCTTTCATTTTGGTCCTTTTTTTTGCTCATCAATTAACTAGACTCAAATTGCCAAAACATTCGCTCCAGCTTCACTCTTGACATTAAATGCACTGCACCATCTTCTACCACTTTGCTGTGCCTTGTGTTGGAGATATCAGGAGGTGCTGAGTCCAGTCCCATGGCTTCCATTCATTATTTTTGTAAACTACCTTCACCTTCCCAGGCCACCAATAGACAAAGGGGTTGGTCTCAGATGATCTCCAAGTTCCCCTCCACCTCATAAATTTCTGTCTGTGACTGCACTGGTTCCCAACCTACCAGCAGTGAAAATGCCAGCTCTACAGCTATTTTAAACATGGAGAGAAAACAAAGACGAAAAAGTGTAAAGGTGGTGTTAGCCCACTAAGAGGTTATTTAAGCCTTCTTTGCACAGTCTCAGGGAGACTGCTTCAGGCCCAAGTGGAGAGTGGGTCTCTGCAGGAACCAGTTGGACACCCAGTGAGGGCAAAACCCTGAGAAAATCCTCCTGCTCCATCCCCTTTAGCCCTTTCCTGGCTGGGGTGCTGGCTGCCCTTTGCAGCTACCTTTCAGATCCAGGGGGATGAGGTCATTTGTGCAGAATGCAGTCTCAACTGTGACTTGTTTCAGCCACCTGGAGGGCCTCTGGCTTCACAGAGAACCCTGTACTTGTAGCAAGTACCTCCAAGCAAGCGGCGAAGCTCCAGTTCAGCTGTGTCTGAGCTGAGTTCTGGGATTCACCATATGCAAGCACAGCATTCTTGGCATGTCCTCACTTCACTGTCTGTGCCCTTGAGTGGCCCAATTGCTTATCTCAGATAAGGCAGGAAAGTCCTGTTCGCTCCAGGCCTCTCTGCTAAACGTTTTTACATTATCAATGTTTCCAAGTTAGGCAGTAGGTAAAAGGGCAAGTAATCTGATTTACTCCTACTGGAGGTGATACTTACATTAATTAGTTAGCAACTAATCTAACCACTTCTCTCTTTCTTTGATTCAAGATAAAATCCAGATAAAAGTAACCCCAAACAAAGGACATGAAAACTCTCCACAACTTAGAAAAAGCTTTATTTTCTAGTGTTTCTTCTGAGGTTAATCAGATCAGTACCACCTTTAGAAATTGTTGATGGTACAGTCAGACATGCCACTGACCCAAAGCCCTCCCAGCCCCCTGTACCAAGCAGGCCAACAGCGCCCACAGGCAAGTTTGTGAGATAAGCCAAGATCAGCTGTCTGGCTCTGTTATCATCACAAACCAAACAGCTCTGGGTGATAAGGAAACTCCTTCTCCTGGCCAGCAGCCTGGAGTCTGAGCCCAGCCAGAGCCCAGCCACTCTGAACATCAGGACATACGATGTGAAGAATGTAAGTGGCCTGAGTGGGGCCCCAGGATCAATGACAGGAACTGGAACTGTGTGTGGATGCTGGGCTCCTCGTGTCATCTTAGTGTGAGAAGAAATCATTTTTCAAATATCTGTAAGAACAGAATGCTCTCAGGGATAAGAAGGAGATGTCTGGCCCCCTGGCACCATCCCACGCTCCTAGGGCAGAGAAGCTGAGCTGGTCCCAGCACCTGGAAGGAAGCTCCCCTGCTGCCATCCCATGCTCCTAGGGCAGAGAAGGTGAGCCGAGCAGGCTCCAGAAGCACCCCCACCCAACCCCATGGAAATGAGAAGACACGTAAACAAGCCTCAAAAACAGACTTCTGGATCACCTACAGCAACCCCAAAGGGAAACCAGATGGAACAATCTGATACTCAACCACCTGGACTCTCTGAACTGGCAATAAAAGAGGATCTGGGAAAAATGAAATCA